CTTTCTTTCTTTCTTTCTTTCTTTCTTTCTTTCTTTCTTTCTTTCTTTCTTTCTTTCTTTCTTTCTTTCTTTCTTTCTTTCTTTTTCTTTCTCTCTCTCTCTTTTTTAAATTTGCCAGAGGGTATGTGTGCTCACCAAAGAAACAGAAAAAGGCAAGTGAGAAGTACCCCCAATGGGGGATTGTCATGCCTTACTCTCCTCTCCTCCATTTCTCCTCTCAGGATTTTGGGTACACTTGGCATGTTTTTCAAGCCTCCAGGTCCAGGACGTAAACCACACAGTCAACTGTATGGGATCCAGCCACCTTAACCACCATACCACCAGTTGGTCCCAATTTCCTGCAGTTTCTAATAGCATCACTTACCAGCCCTTTCACAGCATTCCCAGCAGCCACATGAGAAGTCAGAAACCCTGTTAGTTACCTCCCTAGCTCTCCCTAGCAATCTTCTTAGAAAGACTGGGCTGGCAAGTGGCATTGTGGTTAAGGCACTGGATTCCCACATGACTGACTATGGTTTGAGACCTGGACTTAGCAGCTTGCTTTTTCACTTTCCTTCTCTCTCTCTTTCTCTGGTCAAATTAAATAATAGTAATAGTAAGTAAAATTAAATAAAATAATCCTTAAAAAAGAAAAGAAAGAAAGGGCTACACTGAGTAATTTACTTCTCCCATAAACTGACTCTTTTCATCTGCTTTTATCTTCCTATCAAGTGCTCCATGGAAATCCTCTTGGCAAAGATCAATAATATTAACAGCTCCTGGTCACCAGACCTGAAGGCCATTTCTCAATCTGAGCCTCCCTAGAAGTTCCTCTGACACTGCTTCTCTTCCATTATGCCTCCCTAGGGTACTCAGCCTAGTCCCTTTGGCTATAGGAACCACCTAAAAAGTTTAGACAAACTTTCATGGCTTTAGCTTGCTATTTCCAACTTTGTGTCTTTCTAAATGCTGAAATTCTGAACCAAGTTGGATTCACATCTTGGGTCCTTATTTAATTGTGAACTTTTAGATTGAGTCAGTTATCTTAGACTGTCTATTTTGTGAGTACCTTGGAAATCATAAGGTATTCTACAACAGCTTAAAAAAAAACTTAGCTAATTCACTTAAGCATGAACATATCTATATGTATTTGCATTTCACTTTGGTACAAATAACCAAAGCAACTAGCATTGGTAGCTGGTACCAAAGACAGAAGAAAGCCAACTATTTATGATAAGGATTAATCCATGCTGGGACCTCCCTTCAACTCCTATGTATTTATGTTTGCCTTTTGGCTTTCCCTGACTATTGCTCATGTGTGATATAACTTATTTATAAGGAAGTACACAAGGTTTTATGAGAAGCAGTATGTTATTATCATATTGCCATTACAGTTAAACATGCACACGACATCAGTCAACAACGAAAGGAAAACAGAAAAAGGAAGAAAAAAAAAAAAAAAAAAAAAACACCCTGAGATAAACAAAACTAAATAAAACCCAGAGTTACTCTTCCTAGTTGGAGTTCCAAAATATGGAGGGAGGGTTCAAAATGTTCATAGAAAATGATGCATATGATTAAAATAGTCTCCGTGGGCTTGTGCTTGGAGCCGACAGAGTGCTTGGATCCTAACTCTAAATGAACTTGGACAAATTACTTAAGACAAGGGTAAAGACAGTGCCTACCACATTCTGCTGTTATTCTTACTCACTGAAAGAACTGGAAAAGAGCACCTCAGACAACATGTAGCACACAGTTACTGCTCAGCACAGGTTCACCACACTACATCTGTTTCTCTGGGTTTCTGCCTTGTTTTTCCTGTACAAAAGAGAATGTGCTAATGTGTTTCCTTCTTTTGGGACTTCAAAACTCCATACTGCTTCAATTTACCAGACCAGAACCACATCTTTTACTAGTTTTATTTCCTTGTATTAAAAAAAAAAACAAACAAACTCTGCTTTCTTTGAGAAAAGGACATTGAAAAACTACCCCTATTTTTAGCAACCACAAATAACTCAGATAGTCCTGGGTCAAAATCTAACTTTCCAATAACTATTAGCTGGACAAGAAGTCTGAGAGCTACTCTCAACAAGCTAGTAGTCTAGGTTCCACAAGCATTTGGCTCCGTGGCCCAGAGGTATGTCTGATGTTTCAAACTGAACCCCTGAAACCCTCCACAGGGAGAGATTTCAAGCACCTTATTGACAACTCTTCCTCCACTAACACCCAACATGAAGGGCTTTAAGGCTCTGTCATTTACCCTCTGCCACGGCCGGCAGTGAACTCTTCTCTCTCATGGTTCTGTGAGAACTGTTCTTTGGAGAGAGCTGTATTCAAGTGCCTCTACAGTGCACCTACCTCTCTCTCAAGCTGTCATCTTACATTGGTAAGTGCCCTCTTAGATAGTGTGCAAACAAAATGGACAGCCTGCCCTAGCATTTTACGTTAAGCATGCACACGGCATCAGTCTACAAAAGAAAACGAGAAGAGTAAAAGAAAGAACAGTCCTAAAGTAAACCAAAACCAAATAAAACCCTGGGCTATTCTTTCTAGTTCTAGTTCCAAAAAACAAAAGCTCTTCAAAATGCTTATGGAAAGTGATGAGTATTGTTAAAGAAAAAACCCCAGCAACTATGCAGTAGCCAACTGGTTGCATGGTGGTTAAGGTGGATCCCACATGACTGAATTCATGGTTCAAGTCGCAGACCTGGTGGCTGAAAAAACACACCAGACATGTGTGTGTGCATGCTCAAAATCTCTACAGGTGGGAGAAATGAGAGAAGGGATTGTGACATGACTATCCCTATAGGGGATGATTTCTCACTTTCCTTCTCTCCTCCAGTGAGTGCAAGCAAATTAAAACGAAAACAAAAATGCATGCATTTTAAAATTATTTTGCACCAAAATAAACTCTTACCTTTTTTAAAAAAAAGAGTGTGTCTCAGTCAGAATGACACTTGCACACCCATGTTACTGCAGCGTTATTCACAATTGCTAAGACATGGACTTAACCTAAGTGTCTAAAAACTGATGACTGGAGTGGAAAAACTGCGGCACATATAAAATATACTATGGAATATTACTCAGCCATAAGAAATAATGAGACCCAGTCGTTTGATTCGAAGTGGATAAATATAGAAAACTTAATGTTAAGTGAAGTGAGCCAGACTTTGAAACATACTGTGTATCCCTACTCAATGTGTACCAAATATCTGCACTCTAAGTCAGAAATGGAAAGATTCAAAGCTATGATAGTAGAAAGGATAAGTGCAGATATCAGAGATAGCAAGGGAGAGGAATGGGTGGTAGAGAGGGGTGGCAGAGCATGAATGGCAGCGGCAAGTGGAAGAAACATTTAATAGACAAAAGAATGTAAAGTTCTCTGTTGCTGTAATCTTTGCTGTATAAAAATAAAAATTGGGACTAGCAGATGGCATAGCAGTTACATCACTGGACTTGCACATGGTCAACCATGGTTCGAGTCCCAGACCTGGTGGCTTGAAAATCATGCCAAGTGTTTGTATGTGTGTGTGCTCAAGACCCTGGGAGGAGAATGGAGGAGAAGGGATTGTGATGTGGCTACCACCCCTTGGGAGCTGATTTCTCATTTTTCCTGTTTGCTGTCTGTCTCTCTCTGTGGTAAGCGCATGCACCCTAAGGCAAAAAAGTCCCTACAATGTAAATAAATAAAACGAGGCGCAAGCACGTGGGCAGGAAGATGGCGGTTGGGTTCAAAACCGTGGAACCTCTGAAGTATTACAGGAGATTTCTGAAGGAGAACTGTTGTCTCTACGGAAGAGAACTTGGTGAATTCAGAACCACAACTGTCAACATAGGTTCAATTAGTACTGCAGATGGTTCTGCATTAGTGAAGCTGGGGAAGACTACAGGAATTTGTGGAGTTAAAGCGGAATTTGCAGCACCACCAACAGATACTCCTGATAAAGGATATATTGTTCCTAATGTGGATCTACCACCCCTGTGTTCATCAAGATTTCGGTCAGGCCCTCCTGGAGAAGAGGCCCAAGTAGCTAGCCTTCATTGCAGATGTCATTGAAAATTCACAGATAATTCAGAAGGAGGACTTACACATTTCTCCAGGAAAGCTTGCTTGAGTTCTGTACTGTGCTCTCATTTGCCTCGACTATGATGGAAACATTTTGAATGCCTGCACATTTGCTTTGTTAGCAGCTTTAAAAAATGTACAGTTGCCTGAAATTACCATAAATGAAGACACTGCACTAGCAGAAGTTAAAGAAGAAAAGTTATTTGAATATTAGAACTCATCCAGTTGCAATATCCTTTGCTGTGTTTGATGACACTTTGCTGATAGTTGACCCTACTGGAGAGGAAGAACATGTGGCAATGGGAACGGTGACAGCAGTAATGGATGAGGAAGGCAAGCTCTGCGGTCTTCACAGACCAGGTGGAAGTGGGCTGACGGGAGCTGAACTTCAGGACTGTATGAGTCGAACAGTTACAAGACACAAAGAAGTAAAAAAAAAAAAAAAACTGATGGATGAAGTAATTAAGACTATGAAACCCAAATAAACAGCCACAACTTTTTCAAAATAAATAAATAAATAAAAATAAAAATTAAGATTAAAAAAAAAAGTGTGTGTGTGCATGCACACATGTATCTGTGAGAGAGACAGAGAAACACCCTCAGTAGGGTCTCAGCATGCCATGATCCCTTTCCCCAGCCCTCTAGCTCCTCAGGATCTTGGGAGTGCATGTACCCAGCATGTTTTCAAGTGATCCTGGGATCCAAACCTGCAGTCGGATATACAGCTGTCAGCCTTGCAGAGCACGTGTTTTACTGCTGCACCATGCAGCTAGGCCCAAACTGGTACTTTCATTCCATTTTTCCCATGGACTTTTTGAAGCCCCATACTAAATGAAACCCTGAGCCTTTCCTGTAAGTCACTCACTTCCTAACAAAAACATCCTGATTCCTGTCTTATGCAAATACTGATATGTAACGATATGCATTGGTCTTTCTGGATATGATAACCATGTAAAAAAAAACCTACTGTTTTTAATCTCTGCTCAGATTAATCGTAAACTTGGTAACTCTGCTTGTAATATTGTGTAATCATTTCCCCTTTTAATTATCTGTTATATTTTATTTCTTGACAAGTTAGTGCTTTTTAAAGCCTGGTCTCTCTTGTAAACATATGCAAATGAAATCCTTTTCTTTTGTCTGCTAAGACTTCTGACCATAGTTTATGTTTATATGTATTTTTACTGCAAGCTTTGCTGACTAAAGCCTAAATTATCTTTGTTTTCTTAAAACTCTGTCCTACCTCTTATCTTCCTAGTTTCTGTTTTCATCATCTAGGCTTTCTCCCTAGCTACTTACCTGTGATGGTGTGGATATGCTTTGTCCAAGCTTGGTCCCCAGTATAACAGGGTTGAGAGGTGGTGAGACCTTTAGGAGGTGGGTCTAGTGGGCAATGTCTGCATCACCAGGGACAGCCCTCATGAAAAGATTAATTCTGTCCAGTGAGAGGGAGAGAATTCTCACTCTTGCCTGACTGGGTTAGTTCCTGTCAGAATGGAGGGCTGCCTACAGGTCGCTCTCTCACTGTACACATGCCTGCTGACCTTTCCACTTCTCCCTGCCATGTTGTGATGTAGCAGAGGTCAGCCATAAGCTGGCCCCACACCTCTGGATTTTCCAGCCATCAGAATCATGAGCCAATTAAATCTTTATTTTTATTAAGTCATCCAGCCTCAGGTATTTCTGTTTAGCACAACCTAACAGATTAAAATGTCACCTCTGGGACAAGCAGTTGGTATAGTGGCTATGTCGCTGGACTCCCATGTAGTTGACTGCAGTTTGAGTCCTGGACCCAGTGGCTTAAACTCACACCGGGCGAGTGTGCATGCATGCCCAAGATCCCGAGAGGAGAATGGAGGAGAAGGGATTGCAGCATGGCCATCACCCCTGGGGGGTGATTTCTCACTTTCTGTCTGTCTCTCTGGCGAGTACATGTGCCCTATAACAAAAAACCTCTCAAAAAAAAGAATAAAAAAAATAAAAAATAAAATGTCACCTCTGAACACCATTTCTACTTGCGCAATATTTCTTACACCAGACCCTCTCCCTGTGTGCTGCCTTGGCCAGACATTTATTGCTTACTTTACAGCTGGATTTTCCTGGTTGTTCTCTCTGCTTTGAGTCCCCCATCCCTGAGGGAAAGTCAAAGGAATCGCAATTTATTACAATACAGGTCCTAATTTTAACCCAAGGACTGCATTAGAATAACTCTAAGTGCTCTTCCAAAAAGAGCTCTCTCCAAACTCTTTCAAGTCAGTATTTGACTCCTATCCAATATCCCCTTCTTTAAGCAAATTAGCTCTAGTTCTTTCACCCATTTTTTTATGGCATGATTTTGAATTCCTGGTCTCATTTGTCTTCCTCTGATTATGAAGTAAATAATATAAACCACAATCAAAGGGTCTGGTATTATGAAGATGGTATGTATTAAATTGGTATTGATTATGTTTAGTTCTTTATTTTAGCCCTCAGAAGTCACTAGTGGTAGCCTTATATTGAGAAAAACAAAGAGAGACTAGAATTAAGAGGTTAAGATATTTGCTCATGCTACACGCTTTCTGTCTCTGTCTCTCTGGCAAGTACATGTGCCCTATAACAAAAAACCTCTCAAAAACAGAATAAAAAAAATAAAAAATAAAATGTCACCGCTGAACACCATTTCTACTTGCGCAATATTTCTTACACCAGACCCTCTCCCTGTGTGCTGCCTTGGCCAGACATTTATTGCTTACTTTATAGCTGGATTTTCCCGGTTGTTCTCTCTGCTTTGAGTCCCCCATCCCTGAGGGAAAGTCAAAGGAATCGCAATTTATTACAATACAGGTCCTAATTTTAACCCAAGGACTGCATTAGAATAACTCTAAGTGCTCTTCCAAAAAGAGCTCTCTCCAAACTCTTTCAAGTCAGTATTTGACTCCTATCCAATATCCCCTTCTTTAAGCAAATTAGCTCTAGTTCTTTCACCCATTTTTTTATGGCATGATTTTGAATTCCTGGTCTCATTTGTCTTCCTCTGATTATGAAGTAAATAATATAAACCACAATCAAAGGGTCTGGTATTATGAAGATGGTATGTATTAAATTGGTATTGATTATGTTTAGTTCTTTATTTTAGCCCTCAGAAGTCACTAGTGGTAGCCTTATATTGAGAAAAACAAAGAGAGACTAGAATTAAGAGGTTAAGATATTTGCTCATGCTACACAGCCAGTACGTGACGAAGCTTGGATGTGAATCAGAACGATCCTCTTCTATATTCTATTTATGTATCATCCTTACATTTAGCTCCTACAGCAGCTCGCTGCAGTAGGTACTATGGCAGGTGTGAGTGAGGACAGGGAACAAATGTTTAGCCAGGGAACGTGGGTGGTTAGTGCCAGCCTTTTTTATGTACATTCTCATGCTGAGAGAGCTCTGACTTGAAGTCACAATACAATCTAAAGTGAAGCACAATGCATTGTACCTGGAGGTCAGCGTCAGCCGAAGGTTTCTGGCCTCCCAGAGTGAAGTGGCCTCCCTCTATGATCATGTTGGTGAGCTGCAGTTTGGAGGCTGCTTTCCGATAGACCATTTCTTCCACAGTATCTCGGCCGATAAGCCGAATAACTTTAACACACCTGTATGTAAGTCAAACAAGAATGGTGTGCCATAAGAATCTAAAAAGTTGGGCAAATCATACCAGACAAACACATCTAAAAGAAAATAGGGCCAGCAGATGGCGTAGTGGTTATATCCCTGGACTCCTACATGGCCAACCAAGGTTCGAGTACCAAACTCAGTGACTTGATGCTGTGTGTGTGTATGTGTGTGCCCAAGTTTCCAAGAATGGAGGAAAAGGGATTACAGTGTGGTCATGCCCCCTTGTGGGGTGATTTCTCACTTTCCGTCTCAACTGTCCCGTCTCTCTCTGGTGAGTGCATGCGTCGTCCTAAGGCAAAAACCTCTAAAAAAACCAACCGAACAAGAAACATCTAAAAGAAAATGAAACCAAATACTACATTATGCATTCAGGGTACAACTGAGAAAGATTGTTTCATTTGGACCTGAGCATCTGTTGGAAAGATCTTGTCTCAAAATCTCTCTGAACTTTTCCAAAAGAGTCAAGAAAAAGATAATGAGGTGACTATAAGCCAAGAACTTCTGGCTCAATGATCAAAGAGTAACACCTACCATTTTTAAAAAATTATTATTTATTATTATTATTATCTAATTTATTATAGGGCATGTGCACTCACCAGACAGAGAGAGAGAAAGTGAGAAAGCAAGTCACCAGGTCTGGGACTCAACCAGTTCAAATCCCGGACCTCGTGACTTGCTTTCTCATTCTTTCTTCCTCCTTCCTTCTTTCTCTCTCTCTCTCTGGTCAAACTGAACAATAATAAATATAAATTCTAAAAATAAAAAACAAAAAAATAAACAAACAAACAAACCCACTGAATTAGACTCCTAACTCAAGAAGGATGAGCTCAAGAACTTAAGATTCCTTCTAATCCTTTCACAATTTGATTCTGTTCTATTTAACCAAGTAGGTCTGGACTGATAATGTGATCCACCTAATGCTACTCTGGGAATCAACAGAAGGGGCTGAAAACTTATGGTCTCTCGACCCCCCAGTTTAAAACTGTCACCAGGCTACATTCTTCACCTTCCTCCTCAACCCAGAACCACTGTTCGGCAAACCCAAGTGGAACACAAATACTTAAATCACTCACTTGTTTTGGCCAATTCGATGAGCCCTGGCAGCTGCCTGCAAGTCATTCTGAGGGTTAAAATCACTGTCAACAAAAATAACAGTGTCTGCTGCGGTTAAGTTCATGCCAACGCCACCTGAAAACCATGCAAAAAGGAATGTGGTCAACAGCACATAGACAAGGAACTAGAGACACACGGGGTCAGAGTGGGTTAGACTGATGAACCAAGATCCGTCAACACAAATGACTTCGTCCTTCGAATGGATATCCCTATCCTCAACTCCAGGGCTTTGTAGTGGGTACAAGTACCACCTGAGGCATATCACCTGACCTGGGGAGATTTAATTATTGAATGTAAAGGAAGGAGGGAAGCAGGGGTGAGTAGCGATAGTAGATACTTAAGTTAGTAAAAACACTTACGTTAGCTACTTCACAGCAAAGCCATTTTAAATCTCATCTGTTTCTTTTTTTTTTTTTTTTAATAGGTTTTAGCTATAGGGGGTGTGCACTCGCCAGAGAGAGAGAGACAGAAAGCAAGAAATCACCCCCTGGGGGGATGACCACGCTGTAATCCCTTCTCCTCCATTCTCCTCTTGGGATCCTGGGCATGCACGCACATGCACCCAGCATGAGTTTAAACAACCAGGTCCAGGACTCAAACCATGGTGGACTACATGGGAGTCCAGCGACATAGCCATTACGCCAGCTGCTGGTCCCAAATCTCATCTGTTTTAAAAACTGACTGGACTTTGGTTAGAATAGTCTGTGGAGGGGCCAGCAGGTGGCATGGTGTAGGAGGTGCTGGACATAGCTACAAGGCCAATTGTGGTTTGAGTCCCGGACCGGTGGCTTGTTGTCTCACTTTCCTTCGCTCTCTCCTCCCATCTCTCTCTGCTGAGCACACATGCCCTGTAGCAAATTTTAAAAACGATAATGAAAATAAATAAAATTAAACATTTATTTATTTTTTTAAAAAAAGAATAGTCTGTGGAAAACGACCTGTACTCTTTCAGAAAACAGCCCTAAATATGAGAGAACTTTGCCATGAGCATTATTAATGGAAGATGTTTAAGTTCAACTACAAGTTACAACTAGGCAATCAGATCCCTGATGCACATTATCGAAGAGAGGGGATGATACTATGCTCCTAAGCAGAGTGAGAAACTACTCCCTCCAATTGGAGAAAACTTTAGTGAGCCTTTTCCATATCTGTTTCACATTAATCAAAGCCAATATAACAAAACTAATGGCAAGACAAAAACACTCCAAGGAACAACTTTCTGGGCAAGTCACAGCCTTCTCTTTGACTAATGTGAAAACAAACATAAAAGAGACTCTTACCAGGGTCATTAGAGCCTATTGCTGAAATAAGGAAGCCTTAAAAGGACTTGTTGGAAGAGCCTAAATTAAGGACCAACTTTTGAGGACTACCGACTCTAAGCTAACCTTAAGAAAAGCAAGGCAGGAACGTTCTAATTAAAGCCTTTGCATAAAGTTAAAGTTGGAATAAAGAGAGAATAATGACTGATTACTGAGGTGCTAAATTATACTTAATAGCAATGATAGCTACACTTAAACTGTGCTTACTGCTTGCCAGGCATTGTTCTAAGCACTTTACATATATTAACTCCTCTAACCCTCACAACCACCCAGGAGTAGTTATTAGTAGCCCCACTTTATAGGTGCTCAAATGAAAGCACTTAATCATCTGAAGTTGCAGAGCCAGAAGGTGAAAGAACCAGGATTCAATCTCACAAGGTCTTGTTCCGGCACCTGTGTTTTTAACCACTGTACTATAATACCACGCAGACATTTTTCATATAAAAAGGTGTTCCATGAAAACTGTCTTCTTCTTGGGTTAGTATCGTCTAAGTTCAGCTCTTCTTCTCTCAGAGGTGAGAGTTTTACAAATAAGCTACATCCACAGTCAGCTGGGATATATTCATGAGCTATCACTGCCATCTGGTGGCAACATGACTCACTCACAATCACTAGAGAGTTGGGGGGAAAGTTGTTAAATAAATCAAAACACTGCAAAACCGCAGTTCAAATGTGATAGGAAATATGACAGGGTTCGGAAGAAGTGAATGTCCAGGAGCTCCTAAAAGATCTACTCTGAGTCCTCCAGGGAGATTAATTAAAAAGCAGAGACTCTTTCTTCATAATTTTAGATGTTTCGAACTTAACCTAGCTGCTCAACATGAAGATGATGAAATCATGGGAGCACAATGGAACTGCCCTGCCTCTTCCAGTTCCTCCCCAGACTGAGAAATGAGACAAACAATCACGTGACTAAATGGCTGAGACTCAGGCTATGGTCTATGATATTGAGAGACGTGAGGCCAAATGAATCTGATTATATTCTTTTTTTTTTTTTTAGGAGAGGTTTTTGCTATAGGGCGCGGGCGCGCGCCAGACAGAGAGAGACACAGAGACAGAAAGCGAAAAATCACCCCCCAGAGGGGATGGTCATGCCGCAATCTCTTTTTCTCCATTCTCCTCTCGGGATCTTGGGCACGCACACACACGTGCCCGGCATGAGTTTTAAGCCACCAGGTCCAGGACGTGAACCGTGGTCGACTATGTGGGAGTCCAGCTACATAGCCATTACGCTAACTGCTGGTTCCCTGATTATAATCTTATGTTGTTAATTTTATTAGTGAGATAACACATACACAGGAGAAATAATCTCCTTGTAGTTAGGGTTATATTGAATACTTCTTTTATATGCCCTTATAGTACTAAATTTTCAAAATAAGACTGAACTTTCTTTTTATAGAGATACTGATCTCTCTTTAATAGAGAACACAGATCCCTTTCCAACAAGATTCCATCAAGATTTAGGTCTACAAAAAATAAGATAGTGAAGCTAAGGTCCTGCGAATTCAAAACTAAATTTAACATCTGCTTGCTCCAGGACATTAAAAAAAAATTCCATCTCCGGTGCCAGCAGGTGGTGTGGTGGTTAGGGGCGATGGACTCCCACATGGCCAGTCACAGTTAAAGTCCTGGACCTGACGGCTTACTTTCTCTCTCTCGCTCTCGCTCTTGCTCTTGCTCTGTACCTCTCTGGTCAAATTAAAAAATAAGTAAGTAAATAAATAAAGTTAAATAAAGTGCATTTAAAAAAAATTTTCATCTCCAATAAGTGATTTCAAATTCTTTAACAGTATACGAAAGCACCCTGAAACCATAACCAGTAAAGCACTACAAGTGTCACATATAATATTTACAATTTAAGTCACAGAGATGGGCCTTCAAAAAGTTCATGAAAAATGTATATCATTGGGAACCAGCAGTTAGCGTAATGGCTATGTCGCTGGACTCCCATGTAGTCGACCGCGGTTCACGTCCCAGACCCGGTGGCTTAAAACTCACACCGGGCACGTGTGCGTGTGTGCCCAAGATCCCGAGAGGAGAATGGAGGAGAAGGGATTGTGGCGTGACCATACCCTCTGGGGGGTGATTTCTCGCTTTCTGTCTCTATGTCTCTCTCTGTCTGGCGAGCGCACGCGCCCTATAGCGAAAATCTCACCAAAAAAAAAAAAAATGTATATCATTAAAAAATGCATAGATTTCAATTTTTTTTTTGGAGAGGTTTTTGCTATAGGGCGCGTGCGCTCGCCAGAAAGACAGAGAGAGACAGAGAGATAGAAAGTGAGAAATCACCCCCCAGGGGGGATGGCCACACTGCAATCCCTTCCCTCCGTTCTCCTCTTGGAATTTTGGACACACACATGCATATACACCCGGTGTGAGTTTAAGTCACCAGGCCTGGGACTTGAACTGTGGTCAACTACAGGGGAGTCCAATGACCTAGCCATCACACCATATGCTGGTCCCAATAAACTCATTCTTTAACTTTACTTCTCCATGAATTTTTTGAAGTACTCTCATAGACAATGTCATAAATAATTCTAAAAGACTGGTAGTTTCATTATAATCACATTTTGTAAAACAACTAGATTTTTGTTAAATGTTTATAACACTATACCAGAGGTATTTATGGAGGAAGGGCAACTGTCAGATTATTATCTTATTTCCTAAATGCATGGTTGTAAAGTAGAGTTTCCTCCACTGATTGGAATAACAATTCCCACAATATTCCACAAATCTCTCAGGACATTCCCAAAGCAGTGGTCAGAGCAGATAAAAATTACTTTCCAACTTGGGGCCAGCAGGTGGCATGGTGGTTGAGATGCCAGATTCCCACATGGCTAACCACAGTTCAAGTCCTGGAGCTGGTGGCTTGCTTTCTCACTTTCCTTCTCTCTCTGGTCAAATTAAAAAATAATAAGAATAAATAAAATTAAATAAATAAATAAGTCCTGTGCATGCTTATAAAAAAAGTTTTGAACTTTTACCTTTTAACTCTGGGTTTCAGCCTTACTTCTTTGATAAGATGACAGCTTTGACAGATTGGATAGAAAAGCACCACAATTGTGATAATCTAAGTCAACTACCTCAATTCTCCTCTTTTTAATTCCTCAGTAATCATCTTACCTTCTAGAGGACTAAGTTAAAAAATGTACTAATAGCTGGAATACAAAAGGGCCATCCCAAGCCGTGTTAGTCTGTGTCATTGATGCTTACCTGCCCTGGTACTTAGGAGAAAAATAAAAATAGGCTGCTGTCCGAAGTTCTTAATGGCCAGGTGTCTCTCTTCTCCTCTCACAGAACCATCCACACGCTCATAGCTATAGCCTTTACACAGAGGAGGAAAACAAAAATCTTAACCCTTTCAAGTACTCTTGATAGAATAAAACATGAAGTCAGTCCCAAACCAAATGCCAATTTTCCTCTTCTCATATACAGGCATGCCCCTACTTTAAGCAAATCCTATGAGAAAAACTAAATTTAGGAAGACAGTTCACTTTAGACGGTAACTCACCATAACATACTCCTCTGAGTACGTACAGACAGGTGAACTCTTTGGCACTTAGTCCTTGGCAACAGTTTGGACTATTCTCCAGCAATGTAGAACATCCCTAATGCATGGTAATTTCTAATTTTACTGAGATACAAGTCTTACTGTGCAAGCAGTAAGACGAGCACTTAGGGACAAGTGAGTGAGCCTGCCTGACTGCCCTTCATCTGCCTTTCAGTGAAGCATCAGGGTCTTCCACCACTCATGCTGGGAAGGGGATCATAAGCTCAAGCTGTCCTTGTGTATCTGCAGATTCTGCAATATGCCAATGACCTTCCTGCAAATGTCGGACCAGATGTACTGCCCTCTCTGGGGGGCATCCAGTGGATCTAAGAACCCACTCTAATTTTTTACTTTTATTTTGTTATTATAATTTATTTATATTTAGTTGTTTTAGAACTTTGTGGGGTACACTATGACTTTCAAAGCATGCATTTAATGCACAATAATCAAGTCAAGGTCATTACCATATCATCATTTTCAACAAAAGAACACCACATTATAATGTATACTCTCAAGTTTTGCTCTGGGAACTGATGATCTGTTTTCACTTGCATCTCACTGAGTTTTGTCACACTGAATATTCTGAATTTTCTTTCTTACATTTCTGTGATTTCCTGTGTTTTATCCATTGTTGGTGAGGAGTTAATGTGTTCCTTTGGAAGAGAGATATTTCCTTGTTTTTCCCTATTTCTTGAATCTCCATACTTTTGTTTTGTTTTGTTTTTAAGTTTTGCTATAGCATGTGTGCACTCACCAGAGAGGTTGAGGGGATGGAGAGAGAGAGAGAGAGAAAGTAAGAAAGCACCCCCTGGGAAAATGGCCATGCCACAGTCCCTTTTCCATTTTCCTCTTGAGATCTGAGGCATGCACACACACATGCCTGACATGTTTTTCAAGCCAATGGATCCAAGACTCGAACTACACAGTCAGTCATGTGGGACGCAGCCACCCTAACCACACCACCAGCTGGTCCTCTGTGTTCATTATTAGGTCCTCTGTGTTGATTATTATGCATCGCAGTTCGGGGAGGTTCAGAAGAACTGCAATGTGGGTGACATCTTATTTATTTATTTCCCTGGACTTGAATATGATGGGAGGAAGAGTGCATGCCTGCACTTCCTGTCAGACCGGGGGTAGTGACCAAATTCCTCAGTCTCTGTTGGGTTGAGGGTACTCCCTTTTGTGTCCTTTTCTCCCTCCAGCTGTGGAGTCTTGATCATAAGTGGAGCTCCACATGCTGGTCAACTTGCAGAAGGGTACAGCTTTCTTGCTGGCTTGGGAAAGCCAGTGTTTTTTTGTTTTTGTTTTTCTGAAGCTGTTTGCTCATGCACAGCTCCCTCTTAGCTCCCTCTGCCCACCTACACAATGTATTTTAGTTCTCTTCATGTTTCCTTGCTCCTCTGTGGGTAGAGAATGCTGAGGGTACTCCCTTTTGTGTCCTTTTCTCCCTCCAGCTGTGGAGTCTTGATCATAAGTGGAGCTCCACATGCTGGTCAACTTGCAGAAGGGTACAGCTTTCTTGCTGGCTTGGGAAAGCCAGTGTTTTTTTGTTTTTGTTTTTCTGAAGCTGTTTGCTCATGCACAGCTCCCTCTGCCCACCTACACAATGAATGTTAGTTCTCTTCATATTTCCTTGCTCCTCTGTGGGTAGAGAATGCTGGACTCTATAGTGGAAGTCTGGGGTTCTAAAATGCAAAGGAGAATATCTGCCATTTCCTCCCCTGGAGGCAACATGGGCAGAGCGGTCTTTTGGAGCCTCACCAGCTCCAGGTGATTGACTTCTTCTTACACTTCCAAGCAGCAACTATGTAAATCAGAAGTTCCTTTATGTTTTTCTTGCACGTTGTCAGGCCCATCCAACTCATCTCTCCATGGGGGCCCTGTGTAGGCAGCAGCCAGAGCCCAGGTACCTGTCAGCTGCAAAGACGGTGGCAGCCAGCTCTCTTCTCAGACAGTTACTATGTTCCTTCTGGTCCCTGTTAAACACTCCTTCCCAAGTCTCTCTCACCTCTCCCACCCTCATCCCCTCATGCAGTCTCTGATATCTGCAGTTATCCTCTCTACTTCTGTCTTCAAATCTTTCCTTTTTGTCATATAGTGTGGGCACTCAGTATACACTGAGCAGGGATATACGGTGTTTGCCTTTCATAGTCTAACTTATTTTTTTAAACGGTAAGGTCTGGAGCTGAAACTTCTTTACCACTGGGCTCAAGATTAAACAATGCTACAGTTTTTTCCCATCATCTCACATAAATTTTATAATACATTAAACAGAATTCCTAGGTAATAACCTACTTTCTCTATTGCCTATGTAGAAACAACTGATCCTTTCTATCCTGTTAGACTTGTGGAGTCTCTATAATTTCAATATTCTTTTCTACTGATACTAAATGAGTGCTCAACTGTTGCAAGATATTGCAAGTTCTGGTCACTGAAGATCTGTTTATCATATATTTTCAAAAACATTCAATATTTCCACATCATTTGCTCCAGTGCACATAATTTTAAATCACAGAACTGATGGGAATGTGGGTGTTTATCTTTGTTCACACTGTCCATACCCTGCTGTCAACCCTTGCTCTCACGCACCATTATCCTCACTCTTTTTTTTTTTGAGAGGTTTTTGCTATAGGGCGTGTGCACTAGCCAGACAGACAGAGACAGACAGAGAGATAGAAAGTGAGAAATCACCCCCCAGGGGGGATGGCCACACCACGATCCCTTCTCCAGGGATCTTGGCACGCACGCACATGCGCCCAGCGTGAGTTTAAGCCACAGGGTCCGGGACATGAACCGCGGTCGACTACGTGGGAGTCCAGCAACATAGCCATTACGCTAACTGCTGGTCCCTATCCTCACTCTTAATCTTCTCTTGGTTCTGAATAATATCCCTGCACTGCTTCCCATTGTAACATTTTGACAGCCCTGACTCTTCATGTACCTGTTTGGACTATTAAATCCAAACAAGGCTTAGATAATGTGTTGACCACTGTGTGTTACCTCTGTAATCCATATAGTCTTGTAGAATATCCAACATCTGGGTCATTTGAGAGAAAAGTAAAACCCGATGGCCCCTGTCAAAGAAAAGAAGAAACTGCCAACTCAAATCGTATTTAAGGTAAATTTCCATCAGACAAAACTTATCACAAAATACAAGTTTATAAAGGAATGAAATGCTAAAGTAGAAACATAATTATCACATAGTTTACAAAGACTTCCTCAGAATCTAAATGCTTTATTCCAAAATATAACTCTACATGTAGCTATATGCTTCAGAATAATAGTTCTCCAACTAGAATGGAGACATTCCCAGGGGCATGTGTCAATGCAGCAGGAGATATAAGAATCCCTAACAAAATTAAAACACCTTTTTCTGGAAATGTCAATGTAGTCAATGGAAAGAAATATAAGCTTTCCTTTAACAGCAAAATAAATACAGATTGTAAAGAGTAAAATGCAAAACTCAAATGCACAAATAAGTAAAACAAAAACTAGAGACCTTGAAAAGCTTGCAGCCAGTCAACTACAGCTTTTCCCTACTCAGAAGTATAAAGTCACTATTCTCTTGCCTACAGATATATTGGTTGAAAAGCCTGAGAAGCATCACATTAGAATACAATGAAGAAGAAAGGAGGAGGCAAAATAATGGATTAAGTCAGGAAGAAAGTTGAGACTAGAGCCCCTGTTGCCAGCCATTATTTTAAACAAGCCAAGAAGCACAGTGCTGTCAAAACAATATTCCTAATATAAAAGCTAATTTAATCTGGGCATCCAACAAGTCTAAGAGAAATAGTTATGGAGAATCCCTTAAAGAATCTTGCCCCAAAAGGGTGGAAAAAAAGGATTCAACTTGAAGTTGAAAACCTCACTTTGGGCAACAGGTGGCATGGTAGTTAAGACAGTGGACCCCACATGGCCATCTGCCCAGGTTTGAGCCCCAGACCCAGCAGCTTGAGAATCATACTGAGCAGGTGTGCGTGTGTGTCTAAGATCCCAAGAGGAGAATGGAGGAGATGGGACTGTGGCAGGGGCATTCCCCTGGGAGTGATTTCTCTCTTTCTCTTTCTCTCTTTCTCTGTCTCTCTCTGGCAAGTGCACACACCTTATACCAACAACAACCGCAACAACAACAGCAACAAAACTAAAGAAAAAAACCTCAATTCCAATCTCATCTTGGGCATTTGTAGACTATTTGTAACCTTTTATATAACCTTTCTGGATGTATAAGATGAAAATATTAGACAGAAAGTATTTAGGGTCCTTCTCCAACTCTCATATGCTTATAGTTGATATACTAGAGCCAATAAAATATAGCAAGATATTTATTTAACTTGTCCATTCCTGAGGTTAGAAAAGTTTGTCAAATCTAAAGTTTTAGATTAGTACAGGCCATACTGGAGCAATGAACTCAAGGGACAAATTTGAAATTCTTGAGAACCTGGGCTTTTCCTAGACTCCTCTTTCCCCCTGGTGTGTAGGAGAATTGGGTACAAACTGGACACCAGGCCCCCGAACACTAACTGTGCCTGGTCTTCCAGTGCCTGACTCGTGTCTCTGGACAAGAGTACTCAGATTTCCTCTGAGGTCAAATCAAACCCCACAGAGTAATACAAATAAATGTTTACTGAACCCTTATCATGTGCCAGTTCGATGCAAGGTTCCAACAGGCAATTATGAATAAATATCCTCTGTTGTCTCTGTCCATGGAGCCACACAATATAGCTGGACTGATAAGGTTAGTGGACATCAGTTAACCCTATAGCAAATGAAAGTGCCATGTGCTAGATTAGGGCCTTAAGTGCTGTAAGAATTCAAAAAAGTAAAGTATGACTACAGAAGGCTGGGCTGGGCTGGAAGGGAGTGGAGAGTGTAGTCACAGAGAGGGTACAGCCTGAAGCAATGTTGCACAAAGGAAAACTAGAATCAGCTTCAAAAAATAAGTTCCACATTATTCGGATTTCACAGTCACTAGTTCACAGCAGACAATGCAAACCTACCACCTACCTGGAATTCAACAGCTTATCCAGTAAATGAAGCTTCCCACTAGCCTCAATCAGGTGGTCTCCAACTTCGAAAGGCTCCGGTTCTACACCTGGTAAAGAAAGAACCCGTTTGCAGTAATGTGCCCCAAACCAGGAGAGGCTCTGAGCAGAGAAGCCAACAGCAAGAGAGAAGCCAAGTTCCGTCTAACTGATAATGACTAATCTCTCTTTGAGGCATTTTTAATTATTTGTAGGATACCTAGCACTGAGCACAGGGCCTGACACATTCAACAAGTCCAATAAACTTTTATCTAAGAAATAAACCTGCTGTTTCAGAACCTGAGACACAGGGAGACGAGAAAGTTCGAGGAGGCTCAAAATTGAAATCTCAAGGCTCTCACTCCAGAAAATGAGTCAAAAATAAGCTGAGATGTATAAACTACAGATGGTTCTTGACTTATGGTGGGGTTACATCCTAATAAACCCACCACCAAATTAGAAAAACCCTGAGTCCAATCATTTTAAGTCAGGGACTATCAGAAGTGATTCTCAAGATTTGGGGTAATAGTACAAATTGGAAGGCCTCTTTTAAAATCCCAACGCCCCCTTCTCAAAAAACCAAAAACCAAAAACAAAAAAAAAACAAAAACACGGTTTTGATGTACTCAATTAAGAGTTCTGTGAAGCTTTTCAATAGTTCATATGACTACTTTAAAGACTCCCTTAAAACAACTACAGTGGGGCCAGCAGTTGGCACAGAGGTTAAAACAGCTGGATCCCACATGGTTGACTGTATAATTTGAGTCCTGGGCCCAGCAACTTGAAAACACAGTGGGCACATGTGCATGCATGTCCAAAATCCTCAGAGAAGAATGGAGAAGGGATTATGTTGTGGTCATTCCCCTTTACCCCCAACCCCTGCCCTGTCTCTCGCTAGTGACTACATGTGCCTACAGCAAAAAGCTTAAAAATGAAAAATGACTATAGCCTGTCTACACTGTAGCCTCTGCAGACACAGAGGCCTGAAATTGGCCCAATGGCCACCAATCAGAGTGAATCAAAAAGGCCCCAGTTTGAATAAAAATAAAAATACCACACATCAAAATTTGTATGATGCAGCTAAAGCAGTGCTTAGAGGGAAATTCACAGAGGTCTGTGAGATGATGGGGGAAGCAGATCTGGGAAGGAATAGATGGAGGGCAGGCAGAGATAAGTGTCATCCCAAAAGCCAATTGAAAATGTTTCACGAAAGAAGCGATCCTGTTTCACTAAAGAAGTGATGCACTTATGTTAATGGTGTCTCAGCGGTTAAGTGACAGCTGAACAGACAACCATCAGTTGGGCAATGTAGAGGTCACTGGTGAACTCGGAATACTGATGATGAACGGCTGAGTGGGTTCAAGAAAATGAGAAATCTAATCATGAAGAATTGATCAGACAAATCCAGAGTATGACACATTTCATAAAACCACTGGCCTGGATTCTTCGAAAGTACCAATGTCATAAAAGACAAAAAAGGCCAAAACATACATACACACAGAAGATTTCTAGATTACAGGGGACTAGAAAGATGACAAGGATCTATGACCAGTTCTTGGACTTAAAAAGAGAGAGAGAGAGAGAAAAACATAGAGGGATATTAGGAGAGCAATGAAGAAATGTGAATTTGAACATATATTGGACAACATCAAAATAGAGAACATGAGAATAAATGAAGTAGACACACTACATAAAGACAGTTCTTTTGGAAAATGTTTCTATGATTTTGGCCACAGAAATATTAACAAAGAAGGACCAGCAGATGGCGTGGTGGTTAAGGTGCTGGACACTCCCACATGGCTGACCATGGTTTGGGTCTTGGACCTGGCAGCTTGCTTTCTCTTTTTTTTGGAGAGGTTTTCGCTATAGGGCGTGTGCGCTCGCCAGACAGACAGAGAGAGTCATAGAGACAGAAAGCGAGAAATCACCCCCCAGGGGGGATGGTCATGCCGCAATCCCTTCTCCTCCATTCTCCTCTCGGGATCTTGGGCACGCACGCACACGCGCCCGGCGTGAGTTTTAAGCCACCGGGTCCGGGACGT